ATTAAGGAATCCCAATGTTTCCTTGGGATTTCCATTCTTGCAATTGAGGATGAAGTAGTATTTAGTGGCTGATCCCTGCAGAGATGATAACAGCGCATATTGCCTCTCACTGATGCTCTCAGAAACTATGAACACTGCTGAGGAGATCTCTGTTAAAAAGCTGAACTGCAGCCAGTGGGACTCAATGTCACCATGCAGGTTTGTAACCGCAACGGGCTCTGGGAAAAGATCTGAATTCTCCCTCCCACCAGGGAAATACCAGGAAATCTCGACCAGCCCATCTGCGATTTCCCGAGGGACATTCCCAGACTCCATGTCATGATGGATGAAGAAATCGTGGTGCTGCTGGGAGGGGCTGAGAACATCATTGAGGAGTTTGGACTTGGAGAAGCTGCAGCTCCCCAACCGCACAAAGGAAATGGTTGGCATTGCTGTGAGCACCAGGCTCTCCTCCCTGAATCCCCTGCTCTCTGCTAGGGAGTGCGGCCTCCACTTCCTCACAATGTCCCTCATGGCCCACAGCATTAGGGTGCACCTGGGGGTGTTGATGGCAGGTAGCAGCAGAGGGAGGGCAAACTGGCACATGGACATTTTGGACAGGATCTCCTGCTGTAGGAAACTGTCGGAACAAAGCAGAACGGCACAGAGAATATCAAGGGGGTGCACAGACTCTCTGATGTCAGTGTCACTAAAACTAAAAACATCTCCACCTGCAATCTGTGCCTCCTCACTGCCGCCTTCATCATCACATGGTCTATGCACAAGGCTTGTATTTCTCGCCGTCCCATTCAGAGCCATGACTTTCCTCAGGAAATGCCACGGTAAATCCTCTAACATCTGAGGAGTCCAGTTTTCTATACTTTCTGAGCTAATTTCCAGGACATCCCGCAGCCCGAGCTTCGTGCTTTGGTATTCCTGCAGGTTTAGCTTAGAAAGGAGTCCTTGCAAAGCTTTATTTTTCTCTGTAAAACAAAATGAAAATAGGATTCTCATGACTTTCAGAAGTTAGATATTCCCAGACAGATGGAATTAATGATGTAAAATCTTCATAATTTAAAAGAAAAATTCCATTGGTGGCTAGTAATTAGGGGTTAATGGAGTTATAGCTAATAAACTAATCCCCCTCTTCTATTTCTTTAACTAACCTTTACTGCAGGGGATCTCAACCTTTTTGTTTCTGAGCTCCCCTGGTCTGCCCAACATGCTATTAAAACACCACAGCCCACCTGTGCTACAATAACTGGTTTTCTGCATATAAAAGCTGGGGGCGGCATTAGGGGGTAGCAAGCAGGGTAGTTGCCTGGGGCCCCACACCCCGGGGGACCCCCACAAAGTTACATTGCTCAGGCTCCAGTTTCAGCCCTGGGTGGCCGGGCTCAGGGAACTGGGCTTTGGCCCTGGGTGGCAGGGCTTCAACTTTCTGCCCTGGACCCCAGCGAGTCTAGTGCTGGCCCTGCTGGGAGGCCCCCCCTGAAACCTGCTCAAGGCCCCCTAGGGACCCCCGGACCCCCGGTTGAGAACCACTGCTTTACAGCATATACTTTTCTTTACCCCCTTCTCTCCAGCAGCCATATGAGGGAACGGTGGGGGGTGGGAAAGGAGAGGAAGGAGAGTCTGGCAGTGCTCCCACCCTCTTTATAGCAGTACCTTAGAGCTCAGTCTCTGGAGGGAGGTGCTGGTGGGGCTGGTTGCTCTCAGCCCTTAAGGGTACATGTAGACTGGAGCTCGAGGTGTAATTTCAAGCTTGAGTAGACATAGCCATGCTAGCTTTGTTCAATCCAGTGTGATAAAAATACAAGTGTAGCCACAGTGGCGTGGCTCGTGGGATACCTGAGTACAATCCCATCTGAGATCCTAGGTAGGTACTCAGGCAGCTAGCCCACACCACTGCAGCTAGCGTCTACCTTTAGTGTGCTCGCTTGATCAAAGCTAGCCTGGGTATATCTACCCAAGCTGGACATTACACTTTGAGCTCCAGTGTAGTCAGGCCCTAAAAGAGCTCCTCTCTCCATTGAAAGTATAGAGTGGTACTGAGGTCAGAACATGAATACGGGATGCCTTTTCAATCCTCTTGGCACAGAATCAGAGTAATCCTAGAATGGGAGTTGCAAAGCAGCATGAGGGGCCCAAATTGGAGGAAGACAAGGTAGAGTGAATGAGGAATTGTCTAAGGTGTCACTCTCCTGGTAGGGACCTGTGACCAGGAAGCAGTAGGCCCATGACAGTGAAGTGAGTGAGCAGTGAAAAGAGTGGCCGGGAGGCCTGTGACAGGGAAGTGGGGAGCAGGGCACCGGGATTTCTCAGCTCTTTATTTTTCCCAGGTGGGAGTAGGGTGTGAGAAAGCAGAGTGGTGACTGTCTGCTCATTGTCACTAGGAGCAGAGGAACAATGATAGGAGTTGCAGCATTAGGAGCTACTCAGAGGAGAGGAATATATTTATTGAAGGAGAGGGAAAGCCCCAAATTGATTAGTTGGTTAGTTGATTTTATTGGGACATCAATCCAATCAGGAAGTGAATGTGGGGGCAGGGGTGCAAGGAGAAGGGGTAAAATTGTAGAGAGGTTCTCACATTGTTAACTGGGTTTTCTCTCAAGGCAGATGGGTGACCTGAGAGGCCAGAAATTAACTTGATTTTTTATCTGTTTTTTTTTTAGTGAAGGTGTCACATGGCATTGTATTTTATTGTTGGATTCTGTTTTTTAGTTTGCTGGTCTTTGCACTCACTGTTACTCCTTGGTAGGTCTGAAACTTCAGAGTCAGGTTAAGATGCAATTAGTCAGAGGAGTGTCAGTGGAGAGCCTCAGCTCTGTAAATATGCAGGAGATTTGTGGTCTGCCATGGCAGAGAGTCCTTAACTGTATGGAGTTGGAATGGCCATCAGAGATAGACAGTGGGGGGCTAAGTCATAGAATCACAGAAGATATGGGTTGGAGGAGACCTCAGGAGGTCATTTAGTCCAACCTCCTGCTCAAAGCAGGACCAACCCCAATAGATGTATATATGTGTGTGGTATGGTAATTCACTGTTTAATGTGTGTTATCCACAAAGGGACCTAGGCATTGCAACACTCAGCATTGCAACACATAATTTTTAGGTACCCTGCTGCCCACTGGACTCCTCAGCCCTGAGCTAGGATCCCAGGCTCCCTTTATAATGCATGGGGAGCGTAGACACCTAGAAACGGGATTCACAGAACCAGCATGCTGAGCAGGGAGCCAAAATGAAATGCTGTTGAAAAGGGTGGGGCCTAAACCCTGCCCCTCAAAGGTAATTAGACACTTAACTTTGGCCAGAGAGAGACGCCTGTATCTGCTCAGGTGTCTCAGCTGTAAACCCCTGGGCTCAGGCAGCCCAAAGCCAGGGACTGTCAGCCTGCCGCCCGGAGTGGAGTGGACAGAGTTCCTGCTTGCCCCTCAGCTCCTCTGCAGCAGAGGAAGGGTGGGGGGCTAGGACCAGGGAGAAGGTAGCTACTCACTCTATGTGGGTAGCGGTGTGGGGGGGATCCTGTTTACCCCCTCCCCAGCTCTGCTGTGCTCACAATTTACCCCTGGCCCTCCCTTGCTCCAGGGACCAACCCTAACTCCCACCCCCTGTGCTTTTGCCCCCAGCCCCTGCCTTGTTCCAGCTGGGGACAAATCCTCCCCCCCATGCCCTGCTGTGCCCTTGCCCCTCGCCCAGATGCGGATTTACCATAAAACACAGGGTGTCCTGGGACGGGACCCCTCAATGACAGAGGGCCCAGGGCTGGGCAGCTGCAGGGGCAGAAGCTTGGTCCTGCCGGCTCCTGGGGCTCCTGCTGCAGGCTTCGCCCACCCCCAGTGGCAGCTGAGCTCCCCCTTCCCAGAGCACGCCATGTCCCCGCTCCTCCCCCACCCTCCCAGCACTTTTCCCGCCGCCAAACAGCTGTTTGCTGGCACTCAGGACACTCCAAGAGGGAGGGGGAGGAGCGGAGCTGCAGCACACTTGGGGGGTGGGGACTTGGGGAAGGGGTGGGATGGGGTCAGGGCAGAGGTGGAGCAGGGGTGGAGAAGGACCCTTGGGAAAGGGGTGGAAAGGGGCCCCCGCACTCCCCCTACATATACCCCCCCAGCCCCACAACGCGAGCCCCGACTTATGCACCTCCTTCACACACACCCAGCCCCCTGCCCTCCCTGACACCTGCACCCCCTCACACACACCCAGTCCTGATTCCTGCTCCCCGCCCCACATTCCCACATCCACCCTGAGCACCAAACAGGAGCTGCCCCACGTAAGCGCTCCACACCCCAACCCCCTGCCCCAGCTCTGAGCCCCCTCCC